AACAACAACAACAACAACAACAACAACAACAACAACAACAACAACAACAACAACAACAACAACAACAACAACAACAACAACAACAACAACAATCATTTAGCACGTGGGGACACTCCGTTCTCACCAGTGCCAGGGTTTTCATAGGAGGCGGGCAATACCCCCACTTTGTGGGGGGGCCGGTTCAAGCTCTACCAAATTTCCAAACGACTCTTCGCCACCACCCACACCCAGCTTCCCGCCCTATGACGTTCGGACACTTCACTTCGTGGCATGCGGACGACCGTGGCTACTATTCAGGGCCCCGCGGCCGACGACGACGGCGTGCGCGCGCGAAGAAAAAACGAATGTGTCCAATATGGTATTATTTGACAGGGATGATGGCCCTGGCATGCGCGCAACCGTTGTTGCAGAAGTTCGAAGCACGTGAAAAAGTTGCTCGCAAGAGCCCGTTTGACAGAAATGTTGAAAAATACTTGGGTTTCCTCAGAAATCCGCAAGAGCGCGCAAGATGAATGTTTGAAATTTTTTTTTTGAAAAACCATTGGGTTTTTCATGTTTTTATGTTAAAATCGCTACGAAAACTAAGGTTTTGGAAGGATTTCATCTTGCGCGCGCGAGTGTGCACTTCGTGTCATTTTTTTCCAAGGATTCTTGAAGTTTGGTTATGTTAGAACAAGAAATTTCATTTTATAGTGTTTTTTGCAAGGGAAAGCGGGCGTCCAACAAAACAACCGGATCCGGACACCCACGTTTTGCCTGAGACTTCCTCACGAAAATGATGAAAATGTGGCTGCGGCCTAGGCGCGGCGAGGGGGGCGCGCACCAGGGGCCCCAACAATAATTATTCTCTAGAATAAATAATGTTCAACAACAACAACAACAACAACAATCACTTTACCCGAACGCTCAGTGTTCTCACCAGTGCCAGGGTTTTCATGCGACGCCAGCCAATACCCCCACTTTGTGGGGGGGCAGTGCAAGCTCTACCAAATATCCACACGACTCTTCGCCACCACCCACACCCAGCTTCCCGCCCTATGACGTTCGGACACTTCACTTCGTGGCCTGCGGACGACCGTGGCTACTACACTGGCGCATGGGTACAGTGACTTGTTGTGGTAACATTTTCTGGACGCTAGCTTCGTATACGACTTTTCCCCCTGTTCCAACACTGGACACCTGTGGTTTTTGAAGATTTCGGCGTGCGCGCGCGAAGAAAAAACGAATGTGTCCCGCATGGTATTATTTGACAGGGATGATGGCCCTGGCAGGTGCGCAACCGTTGTCGCAGAAGTTCGAAAAAGTTGCTCGCAAAAGCCCGTTTGACAGAAATGTTTAAAAAGTGTTGGGTTTCCTACGAATCCGCAAGAGCGCGCGGGATGAGATTTTGACATTTTTTTGTTGAAAAACCATTGGTTTTTTGATGTTTTTATGTTAAAATCGCTCCGAACACTAAGCTTTTGGAAGGATTTCGTCTTGCGCGCGCGAATGTCCACTTTACCTTATTTTTTGCAAGGGATTCTTGAAATTTGATTATATTAGAACAAGAAATGTCATTTTATAGTGTTTTTTGCAAGGGAAAACGGATTACAACAAAACAACCGGATCTGGATCACATCGTTTTACCTGAGGCTTCCTCACGAAAATGATGAAAATGTAGCTGCGGCCTAGGCGCGCAGGGGGGGGCGTGCACCAGGGGGCCCAACAATAATTATTCTTTAGAATTAATAATGTTCAACAACAACAACTAGCACGTGGGGACACTCCGTTCTCACCAGTGCCAGGGTTTTCATAGGAGGCGGGCAATACCCCCACTTTGTGGGGGGGCCGGTTCAAGCTCTACCAAATTTCCATACGACTCTTCGCCACCACCCACACCCAGCTTCCCGCCCTATGACGTTCGGACACTTCACTTCGTGGCATGCGGACGACCGTGGCTACTATTCAGGGCCCCGCGGCCGACGACGACGGCGTGCGCGCGCGAAGAAAAAACGAATGTGTCCAATATGGTATTATTTGACAGGGATGATGGCCCTGGCATGCGCGCAACCGTTGTTGCAGAAGTTCGAAGCACGTGAAAAAGTTGCTCGCAAGAGCCCGTTTGACAGAAATGTTGAAAAAAATATTGGGTTTCCTCAGAAATCCGCAAGAGCGCGCAAGATGAATGTTTGAAACTTTTTTTTTGAAAAACCATCTTGCGCGCGAGAGTGTGCACTTCGTGTCATTTGTTGCAAAGGATTCTTGAATTTTGGTTATGTTAGAACAAGAGATTTCATTTTATAGTGTTTTTTGCAAGGGAAAGCGGGCGTCAACAAAACAACCGGATCTGGTATACCCCGTTTTGCCTGAGACTTCCTCACGAAAATGATGAAAATGTGGCTGCGGCCTAGGCGCGGCGGGGGGGTCGTGCACCAGGGGTCCCAACAATAATTATTCTTAAGAAGAAATAATGTTCAACAACAACAACAACAACAACAACAACAACAACAACAACAACAACAACAACAACAACAACAGCAACAACAGCAACATCAACCGCAACACCAGCAACAACAACGATAACAACAACAGCAACAACAACCACAACCACAACCACAACCACAACCACAACCACAACCACAACAACAACAACAACAACAACAACAACAACAACCACAACAACAACAACAACAACAACAACAACAACAACAACGACAACGACAACGAAAACGAAAACGAAAACGACAACAAAAAACAAACAACACCAACTATGGTGGTATGTTTGATGTGCGATGTATGTTTCACCGACTTGCACCAGCCAGTTATCTTGCATGCGCGTGTCATTGCTGTATTGTCTCAAGCCCTCCGTCTCCGTTTGCGGAGCGAGGGGCCCCTGTAGGGCTCCTCGACCGGACTTGCCTTGCCTTTTTGACTTGACAAACTCACAAACAAATATGTTTGACTGCCCGCGCGGACTTCTTGGATCTGTGCTGAAGCCCCGCTGGACAACCCCTGAATCTATCTGGGATTCTTCGGGATCTGACACCTTCCCGGCTTGAAAATGGAAAATGGATAATTTCGCGGATTTCTTTGATCTGGGACAAACGAACGACTGCAGAATCATGAACTTTGGATCCGCGCTGAACCCCCCTCTGGCGCGCTCCGCGCGCCAGGGGCGGCGCCAGAGGCGCCGACGGAAGGAGGGTCCAGCGCGGACCCAAAAGTCCGCGCGGAGCGCCAAAAGTCTATGTTTGTGCAGCTTTTCTCCTTCGAAACGAGCCACTTCTCGGGTCGCCGCGGTGGTTGCTCAGGGGATGGGGAGGTTAGAAGTGGATGCTCACGTTATCCAGCCCCACCTCATAAGTCTTAAGTGGGTTCCAAGTGCCCGATGTGGCTTGCGATGATGAGGTAACTCCTCGAAGTGGGCTCCGCCCGCTTAACCCAGCTCTGCACGCCCTGAAGCCACTCAGGGCACGTGCAACCCACTTCCAGGCTGGGGCAGGCTGGGTAGAACCCACCCCAGCATCCACTCGCACCCCCCTGTCCTCTTGGCAACCCCCGCGGCGATCCAAGTGAATGACAAGTCGGGGGCGGCCAAGAGGGGGGCGTCCAAGAGGGGGGGGCGCAAATCATGGCCGGCGGCATATGCGCGGCCCAGGGGGGGGGGGCCGGGGACGTACTGAAATGAGACAAGGCGCCATGAAATCTGGGGAGATGTCATGGCCCCCGCCATGATATCCGCCCCTAGTCATCAGTGATCAGCCCCCTTTTGGCCGCCCGCGATCTTGGCAAGCCCCCGCGGCGATCCAGGTGAATACTCCAGATTTCGTAATAAAAGGGAGGGGGTCTGGACCCTCCAAGACAAGCCATTTCAGACCTCCCCAGTGGGAGAACCCTCCAAAACATCGTCCCCAGACCCCCCAGGCCCTCCAAGATAGCCTGGAAGAGACCCCCCCCCGAAATGAGACCCCCCTCCCTTTATTACGAAATCTGGAGTAAGAAGACTGGCTTCCGATGCCTCCGGGAACGCACGCCCGAAGCCCCCGACCTCCGCGGGCAGGAGCCCTCGCCGTTCGAGCCGCGGCCCCCCCTGGCGGGCCCGGGCCGCTCGAACCCCGGGGAGGGCGGCTTCCTCGAGCAGGGGCTCGACCACGGCAGTGGCTTACCCCAGAGCTGACTTTCTCGCCGAAGGGTGCGAAAATCATGCGCAGAATGCTCGCAGATCACTCCACGTGCTTCTTTGTCGCAGACTCGACGAGAGATTCAATGATGGGGTCAATGAAAATTCTGCAGTCGATCCCCTACTCGAAGCGTCTCGTCCCGGATATATGATAATGGTCCCAAGGCCCGATGACGTTGCGGACGCCATGACAGTGGACACCCTAACAGTCCTACCAAGGGATTGATAACGCTTTTGGAACGTGCTGTTTTAGCTCTATCTTACACATCTGGGAACTATTCGGCGACATTCCTCCTCTCCATGGACCGTCTTCCACAACGATAACGGGCCCCGAGGCCGCAAGCGTTCCGGAACGCTCTGAGATCGTTCCGGAACGCTCTGGAACGGATTCATCTTCGCCCTGGCACCGCCCGAAGCTGCGAGCAGGATGGAGCAGAGCTGCCGTGAGCCGGGCAGGCCTGAGCTGGGTCGCCTCGCGACCTCGGATCGCATCGGAGACAGATCGCATGGCCTGCGAATCGTTGCGGATCGACTCGGCGTCGGATCGCCGCGTCCGGCTCCGGCTGCTGCCTGCCGGTGCCGGTGAATCGAGCCAAGTCGAATCGAATCGGAGCTGGGTCGCCTCGCGACCTCGGATCGCATCGGAGACAGATCGCATGGCCTGCGAATCGTTGCGGATCGACTCGGCGTCGGATCGCCGCGTCCGGCTCCGGCTGCTGCCTGCCGGTGCCGGTGAATCGAGCCAAGTCGAATCGAATCGGAATCGCGGGCCGAGCTCGCGAATCGGCTCGCATTCGATCGGATCGTAAGCGGCCGTGGCAGGGTGGATCGCGCGCGGCGCCTGAGCCATCTGGTCTGACTTGCACCACCATGTTGACGTTGCTGACCTCCTCGCCTGGGGGTGTGATGGAGAGACGCTGCTGCACAGCCGAGCATGTGCCCAGCGCCCGAGTGTTCACGCTGCGTTACTGCCCACGTCGAGCCCAGGCGATCCCAGCAGCGCCCTGCACAGGTAAGCTCGGCCTTCGCTGCCTGGGAATCGCCCGAGTACGCCGTCGACATGTGATTGGAAGGTCAGCCCTTGGAGGCCTGGAAATGGGCACCAACACCAAGACAGGGGGCTGCCTCCACAGGGGGGAGATGATCCTCGAGTTCGGTGTTGGTGGTAATATTTCGATCACCTTGGAAGCCAGAATATTACCACCATCACCGAGATCGGGATCTCCTTCCCTCGGTGGAGGCGCACCGCCGATATTGGTGTTGGTATTAACCTCTAGGCCTGCGAAGCCACTCCAAACTCCTTCGACGGGGTGGGTCTGCGGGTGCCTAAACTCGGCTTGGATTGTTTTTCTTTGTTCGGCGTCTTGGGCCATCGAACGGCGCCGCGTAGCCCGGCTCACCTTGCTCCGTCGACGGGACAGACGCGGAAAACTGCTGTGCAGATCCCCCGCTGATGTGGCGAATTGTGCTTCGACGCTCATGGTATGGTCGCGCCCTCCTTTTCGTTTCGTTTCGTATTGGGCCAGGGTTGCCACCCACCCACCACTGGCTCAGAGGTCAAGGAAGACGAAGAAAGTCAGGAAGAGCAGCAATACCAGCCTCCAGCGCAATTAACTCGGCGATGAATGCGGACCCCACGTCAGCGACACATCGCCCACAGCCCCCCGTCCGGACCCCACGTTCGCGCCCTCTCTTTCGTCTGCCTTCCCTCTCTCTGAAACAGGAATAGCTGCGTTCATAAGCTCGGCTTCGACGTCACTCACCAGACCTCGCGCGCTCGACCTTGGTACGCCACGAAAATATAGATATACACATACACCGTCTGACGAACTCTGCATGTAGTTTCAGAGCGGGTGGCGGTGTAGAAAGCCGCTGGCCCTCGGTGGTGATTTAATAAACACCGCCGACCGCCCCTGAGACCCAAGAACCATCCACTAGAGGATGTCTGTGTACATGTACCGTGGCGGACCTGAGGCCGGATATCAGAGCAACGCAGCGCTCGTCGCGGAGGATAAGGAGGCGGAGAGCAAGGGCGCCTCTGACTTCGCGCTCTCGCGCGTTTCGCACGCGAAGCGCGCGAACAACTTCAGGCTCCCTCGCCGCCCCGCCAGGGGAAAAGAGGAGGACTAGGAGGAATCGGAGCCTATCCTCGAGGCGCGAGGCGCGAGGAACTTCGCGCCCTCGAGGGCGCCCCTGTTTTGCCCAACCATCCTGTGGTGCTGGGTCCTCGTTCCTCGTTTTAAAGAGACAGTGCCCCGCGTTCCCTCCTCCTCCTCCTCCTCCTTCTCCCCCTCCGCCCCCCTGCGCCACTGTGCCTCTGCCCTCCGCACGTTTCGCAGCCCCATAGGGAGCTCCACCGAAGGCCCCAGTGGCAGGGTTCGCATGGCGGCCCCGCCTCATTTCGGCACACCCCTCACACGTTCCGTGGCCCCATTGGAGGCTCCACTGAAGGCCCCAGTGGCACGGTTCGCATGGCGGCCCCGCTCCATTTCAGCACACACACACACACACACACACCGCACGCTTCGTGGCCCCATAGGGAGTTCCACCGAAGGCCCCAGTGGCAGGGTTTGCATGGCGGCCCCGACCCATTGCGGCACACCCCTCACACGTGTCGTTGCCCCGTAGGGAGCTCCACCGAAGGCCCCAGTGGCAGTGTTCGCATGGCGGCCCTGCCTCCATTTCGGCACACACACACACACACCTCACACGCTTCTTGGCATCATAGAGAGCTCCACCGAAGGCCCCAATGGCAGGGATCGCGTGCCGTCATCTGCCCATTTTCGGCACACCCCTCACACGCTTCTCGTGCCCCCATTGAGAGCTCCACCGAAGGCCCCAGTTACAAGGTCCGCATGGCGGCCCCGCCTACATTGCGGCACACCCCTCACACGTTTCGTGGCCTCATGGGGGACTCCACCGAAAAGCCCAATGGCAGGGTTCGCATGGCGGCCCCGCCCCATTTCAGCACACACACACACACACACAAACACCGCACGCTTCGTGGCCCCATAGCTCCACCGAAGGCCCCAGTGGCAGGGTTCGCATGGCGGCCCCGCCTACATGTCGGCACATCCCTCACACGCCTCGCGGCCCCATATAGAGCTCCACCGAAGGCCCCAATGGCAAGGCTCGTATGCCGTCATCTGCCTATTTTGACACAACCCTCACATGTTTCGTGGCCCCCTAGGGGAACTCCGCCGAAGGCCCCAGTGGCAGCGCCCGCATGCGTCCCCCAACAAACTTCGGCATACCCCGCACTCGTTTCGGGCTTCCCATCCGCGCTGCCCCGTGCACCATCCCTCTTGCGGCGCGCTGCCTATGCTGAGAAGGACATAGATTACTTTACTCGCAGCTGCATATGCTTGGGTCCTTCGCCAGGTTAGCTGTGTTGGACGCCAGCTCTGCAGGCGGCGGTAACCTGCGAGTCGGCCCAGCAGCCTGACAAGCCCGTGCGCGAGTGGCACACCGAGTGACCCGCTGAAAACCCGCCGTCGCCGAACAATCGAAAGTAAAAAAGTAATGGCAAGGAGAGTCTGGAAAGTAGGATGGAGGGCAGACACGAGCGACCAGCTCCTGAGCTTTGATGAGTGGAAACCGCTGCCATGGCAACAGGCGGACGACACCTGCAAATCTGCTCGGCCCATGTTGATCGGTCCGAGAGCAAAAGCGGTCTTGGCAGCCTGACACGCCCATGCGCGACTGGCATACCGAGTGGCCCGCCGGAGGCTCCCCGCTGCTGAAAAGTAAAAGGAATGGAAAGGCAGTGACCCCGACGGGGGTCAACCTCGCCTCGCCGTCGCGCCGCGACGGGGGTCGGAGCGCCTTCGGCGCGCGGTGGCTGCCCGCGACGGGGGTCGATGTGGGGCTGTCGGCGGGGGTGACGCCCCCCCCCACCCCCCGACGCTTGTTAAGAGACTCGGAGTATGGAAGCAATGTGGAAGCAACGCGGCGCTCGTCGCGGAGGAGGGGAGGCGGAGAAGGCGTGGAGAACTCGCGCGCAGCGCCCCCGACAAGAGACGGCCGAGAAAAGAGCCCGAGGGCTCGAACCACGACGGCCGCTGCATGCCGCTGCGGGGCGCGCGAGGAGGCGCGAGGGGAGGGAGGAGGGCGGCACGGGTGAGACGACGCCCAAAGGACGACAGCGATCACAACGACAACAGCGATAACGATGACGATGACCACGGAAACAGCGATCCCAACGAGATCCCAACGATGACGATGCCAACGGTAGCCAACGATGGCGCGTCTCCTACGAGATGGCACAGCGACCTTCCGAGGCGGCGTGCGCTCTCGCCGCCAGCGCGGCACAACCCACACCCGGAGACGAAGAGGCGCTACACGCGCGCCCTGACGCGGGCAGCCTGCGCGCCAATGCTTGCGTCGTTTCGGCGGACGACGGTAGAGGGAAACAATGAATGAACACGCCCCCTCCCCCCCATCCTCAATGTTGGCACGCGCGGGAGAGACTGCGATCGAAGTGCATCTCATCAGACCCACCGCCAACTTTGAACATTGGGGGGAGGGGGAGCCGTTGACAGATGAATGTGGCATCATGAGTGTTCGCTAATTTGTTCCGAGGCCTGGATTTCTCGGGAGGTCGAACCCTCCTTGGCTGCAGTGCGCTTCGAAAAGGCCGCCATCCTTCACTCGAGGGGGGGTGGAATGTGATCCAGGCCTCCCAAATGGGACCAGGATTGACGGTGTCGGTGCATCGCGCCGCATCGCCGATGCATCAGTGATGCAGCGCTGTCTGGAGCCAGACATGTTCCATCTCAACGTCGCCGATGCATCGGCGCGATCCTCCGACCCCCTCTACTAGAAGAAGAAAAACGGCGTAAACATAAACTTTCGGCGCTCCGCGCAGACCCCATGGATCCGCGCTGGGCCCTCATCCCTGGCGCGCGGAACGCGCCAGGGGCGGCGCCGGCGGCGCCGCCAGGGGGGCCGGGCCCAGCGCGGGTCCAAAAGGTCCACGCAGAGCGCCGAAAGTTTATGTTTATGCAGTTTTGTCTTCTTCGACCTACCCCACCCCCTTTTGGCAAAAGTACCTTTGTTGGCGGCGAGCGAAGGGAGGAAATCAGAAGGAGAGGGCCTTCTCAGAAGGCGGCGGGATTTCTCAGAAACCCTCGCGCCTTCTGAGAAGTTCGCTGTGTCTCCGGGGAAGGCTGAGGAAACTTCTCAGAAGGCCGGGGGACTTCCGAGCCTTCTGAGAAGGCCCGCCCCTTCTCACTTCCCCCCTCGCTCGCCGCCGATTCTGACACTGCGTGTATCGTTGGACATTGAACGATTCGAGTAGGGCATCGACTACAGAACATATTTACCCCACAATTCATTCTCTCTTCGAATATAAGAAAGATACGAGGAATGATCCACGAGCATCCTACGTATTCATACACACGGCGAGAAAGCCCATCTTGGGGTAAACCAACTCTGTAGCCGATCCCCTCCTCGAACGATCGCTCGATCGCTCCGCACTGGCCGAGGACTCGGGGCCACCAGCAGCGCTCCACCTCGACCGCCCGCGACGGGGTCGCCACCCGCGTCGGCGCGACGGGAACCTGCCGCACCGCGAAGGTCACCCCGGCGGGGGGGCAACTCTTGGGCGTGGCCGGCGCTCGCGAAGGCAAGGCAAGAGAGAGAGAGAGAGATAGATGGGAAGAGGCAGATAGAGAGAGAGAGAGAAACCAAAAGGACAACAAACAACAAAAGCAACCGAACACGCAACAAGCAAGCAAGCGGTAAAAGCACGAGCAACAGCAGCAATACACATACACGAATGATCCTCGCGAAGGGCCCAAGCATGTGCAGTTGTGAGTCTCGCCGTTGTGGGCATCGCCTTCGGTTGATCTCCTGATGGGGCCACGAAGCGTGTGAAGGGTGCCGAAATGGTGCGGGGACACATGGGGGCGCAGCCACTGGTGCCTTCGGTGGCGCTCCATATAGGACCACGAAACGTGTGAGGGGTGTGCCGAAATGGAGCGGGGCCGCCTTGCGAACGTCACCACTGGGGCCTTCGGCAGAGCTCCCTTTGGGGCCACGAAACGCTTGAGGGGTGTGCCGAAATGGGCTGCGGGGACGCAAGCGAGCGTCGCCACTGGGGCCTTCGACGGAGCTCCCTATGGGGCCACGAAACGCGTGAGGGGTGTGCCGAAATGGACGGGGAGAGACGCATGTGATCACAACCACTGGGGCCATTGGTGGAGCTCCCTATGTGGCCACGAAACGCCGTACTGGATGGCGCGGGACGCTTGTGATCACAACCACTGGAGCCTTTGGTGGAGCTCCCTTTGGGGCCACGAAATGCCGTACCAGGTGCCACGGGACGCATGTGATCACAGCCGCTTGGGCCTTTGGTGGAGCTCCCCATGGGGCCACGAAACGCCGTACTGGGTGGCGCGGGACGCATGTGATCACAGCCACTGGAGCCTTTGGTGGAGCTCCCTTTGGGGCCACGAAATGCCGTACTGGGTTGTTGGCGCGGGACGCATGTGATCACAGCCACTGGGGCCTTTGGTGGAGCTCCCCATGGGGCCACGAAACGTCGTACTAGGTGCAGAGGACCGTTCTGGGTGCGGCGGGCAGAGGCAGGGATGGGAGGATGGGGAGGAGGGGCGAGGAGGAGAAGGAAAGCGGGGCGCTGTCCCTTCAAAACGAGAACCCAACAGCAGGTCGATTAAAGAAAACATCGAACACGTGCAGCAGAGCAGGCCCGCGGCCAGCCGCCTGAGGGCCCGGTGAGGGCCGCCACGAGCAGGCCGTCCTGCTGCGCCAGCAGGCTCGGGGGCACGTCGCCGACGTCGATGCTCGGGACCTGGGCGGGACACGGGGAGAGCGTGCCCAGGACGCGCCTCAACTCGCCCTCCCTCGGCAGAGGGGAGGAGGAGGAGGAGGAGGAGGAGGAGGAGGAGGAGGAGGAGGAGGAGGAGGAGGAAGAGGAGGAGGAGGAGGAGGAGGAGAAGGAGGCGGAGGCTTTTACCCTGATGCGGCCAAGTGGTCGAGCTCGCTCCTGCTTGCTGCTGGCGGCGACGAGCGACGGCGAGGGGGCGGTCGTTGTCCTGCTCCGTTGTTCGCCACGTTCGGCCGCCAGCCTTCGTCGGGGATCTTCTGACCCGGGTCAATCCAGACCCGGGTCAGCAAGAAACCAAAAACTGCAATGCAGGAAAAAAAAAACTGCACCGCAGGTCTTCGCAGACCCAGGTCAGCCAATACGCGCGGCCGCCTCGCGGCCACGAGCGGCTCCCTAACCCGGGTCAGCCAGAGGGGGTCTTCGAAGGATCCTGCAGGATCTGGCGCCCTGGCTGACCCCCGTCTGTATTGACCCCCGTCTCAAGGCTCCCGACTTCGTCCTTCGCGCAGATCCCCGGCGTCGTGGTTTCTTCACGGCGTCGACCCCTAAGACGTCTGGACCCCTGCCCCCGGACTGGTCTTTCGTCCTGCCCCATGGGGCGCAGCGACCTGGGGGGGGAGAACCGCATGCGAGCACCGCCACTGCGGCCGACGGTGGAGCTCCCCATGGGGCCACGAAACGTGTGAGAGGTATGCCGAAACCGATTGCGATGATGGCAACGGTGATGATGATGATGATGATGATGATGATGATGATGATGATGATGATGATGATGATGATGATGATGGATGATGATGATGATGGATGATGATGGCGACGACGACGACGACGGTATTGATGATGATGATTATTATGATGATGATGGTGGTGATGATGATGATGGTTGTGGTGATGATGGTGATGATGATGATGGTTGTGGTGATGATGGTGATGCTGATGCTGATGCTGATCCTGATGGTGATGATGATGGTGATGATGAGGATGATGATAATCAGCATGATGATGACGACGACGAAGACGATGACGATGATGATGATGATGATGATGGTGATGGTGATGGTGATGGTGATGGTGATGGTGATGATGATGATGATGATGATGATGATGATGATGATGATGATGATGATGATGATGATGATGATGACAGTGCTGCCATGCGAAGAGCAGAGGCAAAGGATGGGAGGAGGGAGGAGGAGGAGGAGGAGGAGGAGGAGGAGGAGGAGCGGGAACGCGGGGCGCTGTCTCTCCAAAACGAGGACGCCACACCACATGAGTGTCGCAAAAAAACGCTGGCGCGCGTGATGCCGTCGATTTCGGACTTTCGAGGGGTGCCCGCGCCGGGCCTCGAACGTCATGCTCCAGGGGCCGCCCTGCGGGTAGTCGAAGGCCTCCGTGCTGCCCAGGCCTCCGCGCACAGCCCTCCCGGGCCGCATGCTGTCCGCCGCTACCGAGGCGCCTCCCTCCCTCCCTCCCTCTCTCCCCCTCTCTCTCTCCCCTCTCTCTCTCTCCCTCTCTCTCTCTCTCTCTCTCTCTCCCTCTCCCCTGAGATCCTGGCGTCGCAATCCTCTCACAACGGGCGTCTTCGCCCCGCTTCGGACCCCGGGAGCCTCACGGATCGATCTGGCTCGAAAAATGGCGCAGGAAGCTGGGGTCGGTGGCTCCAGCCGAGATGTTCTTGCGATGTTGCAGCTCTCTCGCAACGCTCGCGACGTCGGATCTCGGGGTCTCTCGGCTGCTGTCCCCTGCGCGGCGCCCGCCCACCACGCCGCCCGGTGCCCTTCCGGTGCATCTGGGGACGGGTGCGGGGTCTCTGCCCCCATCCCTTCGCAACTGCACGGCGCGGAGGGGTTAAGAGAGCCACGGCAAGTTCACCTCGCGATGCCGCAGGCGTTGGTTCCTAACCCATCGTGGAACGTTATATAAATCTTGAACGGTCGCCCATCTCCGATATCGGAGGTCGTTCAAGTTCAACCCTGAACGGCTGGCGCAAACCTGATCGCCCGCGCTGGCGTCGCCGCCGCGTCAAGGCGGCGTGAACTGCCGTACATAGCGCATGGTGCAAGAATCATCGATGCTGGAGCGCAAGCAGCTCGGCAAGGGTCTTCCCGAGAGCAGGATCTGGTGGAGGGCTGGCGACGGAATGATGACCCGAGCGGGGCCAGCCCCTCGGCTCCTGACCACGGGTGGCTTGAGTTATTTTGCTCCCACCGCACTTAAGGACCACATGCCAGAAACAGTTCCGAGCACTCAGAAGAATATCGAAACAGTGTTTGCCCGACACGGTAGCGAAGCGTCGAACGAGTGTCGCCTCCCAGGGCCCGACACGTGAAAACCCTCCGGTTTCGAAATTTCCCTGGTGCTCGGAATTCTCTCTGGCGATGAAGGCTCAAGCAGGTTGCAACATCATAAGGCTTGAGCACGGCCAGTCGGCATCGAATCGGGAAGTCGGATCGCCTCTGACTACCTACCAGACCACCCCAACCCAACCCGAAGACCCGAACTTCGGGGTGGGGAGGGGGGGTACGGGCTTCATCTGTGTTCGCCAAATAGGCTTGCCCTATAAGAGACCTAGCTCATCACAAGTAAATGGTCTTTAGCACCCCCCCTTCTCCAATGGCCCCCCCCTTTTTTCCAATGGCGCCCTCTCCTCCCGTTTTCTCCTCCTCGTCTTCTCCTTCTCTCGCTCTTCTCCTGTCCATATATCTATTTGGAGTCAACGCTGGCTGTTATGTTTTCGATGCTCCGCGCCCCACCCCACTGAGAATTGAGGGCAAATTGGGGCCTTCGGGTTGGGTTGTGGTGGTCTGGTGAGTGGTGAGCATCGGAATGCGCGGCGGAGCGGGCCGCACTGGCACGGCGACGAGTAGTCGAACTGGAGCGGCCGCGCCAGGATGCACAGCGGCACCGTGCAGCAGCGGGCCGCATCGGGCCGACGGAAGAGCAGGTGGTGGGACAGTTGTCCACCACCACTGCCATATAGGTAGGACGGGGGAGGAGGGAGGATGGGGCGGTCCTCCTCCTCCTCCTCCTCCTCCTCCTCCTCCTCCTCCTCCTCCTCCTCCTCCTCCTCCTCCTCCTCCTCCTCCTCCTCCTCCTCCTCCCCTCTCCTACTCAAGCAACATCTCGGCCCAGGCGTGTTTGTTTTGGCTCCCACCAATCTGCCGACGAGGTGCCGATTGCCGCGTAACGTCAGGGATGTGTTTCGCTCAAGGCGCACTGACTCTGACCCGCACTTGAGGGGGAGCGAGAAGCCGCATAAGTGCAATCGGGTTTCAAGGCTACGGTGATACCCTTGCATGTGTTGGGGTGCAGCCACAGTTCGGGTGGTGCCGCAATTTCTGTCATCTTCTGCTACTACTTGGACATCTCCCAAAGCCGCAGGGGAGGGTACGTTTTTGAATTGTGGGAATTGGCTTGGGATGATCTTTCTTTACGGCTCAACGGGACGGAAACTCGCAGCTGGTGGCCGGCAGGAGCGAGAGAGGTGCACGTATTTATCGACGAGCGCCCCGCCCTGTACTTCACGGATGTGGTCGTCGCTGCCGTAACATCAGCTACAGTTCATGCATCTCCCAAAGCCGCCTAGGGTGTGTTCCTTTCTATGTTTGTATTTGGCGTTCGTGGTTGGGCGGCACAGTTTTCAACCCGAGAGCCGAAGATAGCCAACCGCCAGTGGTGGGGTCAAATGTTGTATTGCTTCAATTGTTGTCCAGTCTGTTGGTGGTCTATCAAGTCTGTTCAATCGTAATTCTTCACACTGCGGCAAGAGGCCGCGGGGCACAACCTGGTAGCACAAGTTTCGGTATGGATTTGTGTTAACCGTTGCACGTTCACTTATGGCATGCGCCCTTTTGGTTCGCCGTTTGGGAGTATGGAAATGCTGTATGCGGGCCTCTGCATAATGGGCGTATCCCCAAAGTCTCGTACACGTGTCGGGCAACCTCCTCGTGCCGAGGCCATGGGTGTAGAGCATCACATCACCTTCTTCTCATCCCGACAATTGCTTGCGTTCGAAGGCATGTCAGAGGTTATGCTCCTGAAGCTGTTCCTCTGAGCAGTATTCTGCCCTGGAGCGGCAGGGAGGTGGAGCCCCGCCCTGTCTCTGGGGTGGGCTCGCGACCTCAAGAGAGCCCGCGCGTTCGGCGCGGGCGGGGGCCGCGGCGGCCGAGTCGACCGCGGAGCCCCTCGCTCGATAGTCCTCGATAGTCCTCCCCTCTCCCATCTATGGTAGCGGTGGTGGAATATCTGCCCAATAGGGATGGCTCGGGGGCTGCGGAGGGTGTCCCTGGTCAAGGGTGTCCTCGGCGTTCTGCTCGATCCTGAGGCCCCTGGGGCTCTGCTCGGGGCCTCACATGCGGGCTGTCGTGGAGGCCTCCCCGAAGGCCTGGGGTCGCCTTGGGCCAGGCACACCGCTGGCAGCATCCGAGCGGAAGTGGCGGAACCTTTTGTCTCCACGCAGGAACGACTGCACAAACATGAACTTTGGACCCGCGCTGGACCACCCTCCCTGGCGCGCGGAGCGCGCCAGGAGCGAAGCTGGAGGCGCCGCCAGGGGGCCCCAGAGCTGGTCGACGAAATCCGCGCGGAGCTCCGAAAGTTTATGTGTATGCCGTTTCTCTTCTGAAACACATGCCAAGAAACACCCTGCTTGCCTCCAGGGTGCCCTGAGTTTCTTGGGCTTCGATGGTTCTGCGATGGAAGGCGCGACGTCCCCGCACCAAGAATCAGTGGACGTCCTGGGGTCTCAGGGTTTGGCTTCTTGTGGAAGGTTTCTTGTGGCCGAGCTCCTACTGTCTTGCCACTTCCAGCGCGCCACGCCATAGATAACCACGGCTCGGACTTGCCGTGGGCGCGGGCGCTGCGTTGGACGAGGGTTAAGTCGGGCGTGTCCCTCCACTGGATGAATATTCCCAGATTGTCAAAACGCAGCATGAAGACGATGCTTCGACTATGCTTGACCATTCTCGAATATGTTTCCATGTTTTTCATTTGTCGTCCAAAATCCGCCTGTAGGGGGACACGCCCGACCTAAGACGAGGGGCGCGGGAGGGCGCGGCGCTGTGCCGCTGCCGCGCCGCGCCGCGCTGCCTGCTCTGGCCGCCAACGCCCGCCCTGGCGCTTTCGGGGACCGAGGCGAGCGAGACGGGTACGCAAACAGTAGGTCAAAGCCCAACAGAATTGCGATCGTTGTGTTTATTCGCTGTTTTGCCGATCGGCGCGGGCTCCCCCCCCCCTCCCCCCCCCCTGGAGCAGATCTTGGCTGTTTTGGGCGCGTGTTTCGAGCGGGCGGAATGCTCAAAAATTGTATCAAAAACAGTGTCCCCAGACTATTATTGACTATCTCTGAATGTTCCTCCTGTAGGGGGACATGCCCGACTTCACCCAAGAGGGCCCCAGGCGGCCTCGGAGAGGCGCCCAGGGGGCTCCACGGGGGTCCCAAGTGGGCTTCCAAGACGCTCTCCGGGTGACCCCTGTCGACGCCAAAAACCATGTGAAACACAGCGAGTCTCGTGCATCGTACATGTTTCAATGCTCTTGGCCCCACTGGCACGGCCTCACTGGCCGACTCACCCCCCCCTGAGCTGGGGTGTGTTATGATGTTCGCTTGGGGTTTCGCGGCGCATGTCCTCACCGGGGGAGGGGGGGCTGGGCCCAGTGGGGAGGGATCGGGTAGACGATGCTGAACTGTGTGTGTTGTTCCCAGACCCCCGACTTCGTGATCTTTGTCACAACGTCGATCCCAGAGGTCTGGACCCCTTCCCTAGGACCAGCTTTCCATCCTGAGTCGTTTTTTGACGGTCCCGAGGCCCGGTAAGGGCCCCCAGAAGACGAAAACGAAAAACCTCCCGTCGTGTTTTTTTCACAACGCGAGGGGGTACCCCAGGAAGAAAAAGGCCCCAGAAAGCTCCGGATCCCTCCAACCGACTGCCCCAGAAAGGGCCAATGCTCTAACAGGGGATATGTCGACCCCTATCCTTAGAAAGTCCAGGATTCGCTAGCGACTGGTTTCTCTTGAAAACAACCGAAACCCTCCAGAAACCCTCCCAAAACCCTCCGAAAACCCTCCGGGAAGGGTTCCAGGAGGGTTTTCGGAGGGTTTTCGCTGTTTTGGATGGGGAACCAATCACTAGCGAACCCTTGGCTTTGTAACCCTATCCCAGGCTTCGTGGGGTTTTCGAGTGGACCAGAAACCTGGGACCCACCCCTGGGTTTTGCGATGGGGGGGCGATCATCCTCGACAGGGATGCGTCCGAATAGCCACCTTGGGGTATCTTGTCGATGCCATGACAATTGACATTCGAACCGTTCTATCATTAAATTAGAAATATGTTTAATATGTATTATACATGCTTTTGAGCATGTTCGAAACATGTTAAATACATGTTTTGGCATATTAGAAACATGTGTCAAGCAAACGTGTGTTAGACATATGGAAACTGTTCGGCTGTACGCCCGCCCTCTATCGATCGTCTTCCACGTCTGAGCGGCCAGACTCTTCGGGCGGAGCTCGGGGAGCAGGGAAGAAAAAAATCGCCTATGCGATGCTCGGCGGCGCGCCCGGTGGGGAAGTGAAAGGGGGGCGGGCCTTCTCAGAAGGCTCGGAAGGCAGGAGGAGGAGGAAAAGGAGGAGCAGGAGGAGGGGGACGGGGAGGAGGGGGAGGAGGAGGAGGAGGAGGAGGAACTGTGTAAACCCAAGAGCCATCAACGATGTTGGAATACACCCTCCCTCCAAGCTCCCTCTCCATAAGCCCCTACAACGCTTCGTTTCCATTGAGGGATCTGCCTCGTTGGAAGACAACCGTTTGAAGACCCAGAAGCATGCCAAAACATTGTTCTCGGGATTCCAACACCACGGATCAACCTGACTGTTGCGTCTTGACGATTCTAGATCATGGCAGAACGCCATTCTTGGGATTTCTACACCGTCAATCAACGTAACTGTTGCACCTGCAAAATCCAGAATCCTTCCTAAACACAGTTTCTGGTACGTTGATCGCGGGAATCCGTAAAATGATTGCAAAATGTATGGACGAATGTGCGCGGAGCTCAGGCGAGAGCCACATGTTGGAAAGAAACCGCCCTCAATCCGTGAAACCCTTGCAAATGTTTAGAACGAATGCACGCGGCGCTAAAACGAGAGCCACACTTTGAAAACGGACTATCCTCAATCCGTGAAGCTCTTGCACATTTTTAGAACGAATGTGCGCGGCGCTTAGGGCGAGAGCCACATTTTGAAAACGGTTGACCCTCAATCCGTGAAGCTCTTGCGAATGTTTAGAACCAATGTGCGCGGCGCTCAGGCCAGAGCCACATGTCGAAAACAGCCCGCCCTCCATCTGTGAAATTGTTGCCAGTGCTTAAGCTTCAGAGTGATAAGTGGTGAGGAAGTCTCAGGCGAAACGCCCGACCCACCTTAAAAGCTTGCCTCGGGGTGCGACAGGGAGAAGTTATTTATAAGGAAGAGGAAGAGGAGTGGAGGAGGAGGAGGAGGAGGAGGAGGAGGCTCGGAAGGCCTCTGGCCTTCCGAGAAGTTGCCAGAGCTTTCCGCGAAGGCACCAAAACCTTCCCAGAAGGCCTGGGGGCTTCTGGAAAGCCCCCGCCGCCTTCTGAGAAGGCCTGCTCCTTCTCGCTTCCCCCCCCGGGCGCGCCGCCGAAATGCCAGCCTGGTGGAGCTGCCCCCAGGCGCTCCAATCCAGGCGAAGCCAACAAAAAAAAAGAGCGGCGGACGGTCTGGGACAGCGTCGGCATCTGGAGGCCGCCTCCTGGCCCCGAGACCGTCTCAGAAGACGAGGCAGGATGAGAAGCTGGCCCTGGGGAAGGGCTCGAGACCCCTGGGGCCCCGGGTCACGAACCGAATGCGACGACGTCGGAGGAGGGAGGGTGGTCCCAAGAGTGGCCCAAGATGGCCCCAAGACCACCCCCGAGACGACCCTGAGGCTCACTATCAGATAGCCCAAAGACCAGATAGGCTATCCCCAAAAACCCGCCAAGAAGCCCCGAAGGGCGTCCCCAACAGGCCCGTAAGACCCTAGAACAATTGCATAACCGTGTAAAGCCGTGCAAGAACAATGGTGGAACCAGCGTTGGAGCATCCTGCATACATCTGGATACTGCGCAGGCGCGCCGACGGGATCTACGGCAAGCAGCCGAAGAAAAACCATGCGAAGATTGTTCTGATACGATCACGAGGGAGACACGCTTGCAAAGAAACACCAGCAAGGCCAGAGTCCCAAGACGTCAAGATCGAATGCACACTGGATCAGGGCTCGAGCTGAACAGTGCTTTTCGCTTTGGCCTGGTCTTCGTTTTCCTTCGTTCCGTCTTCGCTCCGCCTCTGCTGCAACACGAAGTCAAAGCAAAAACAATCCACGAAGCCGCCAAAACACCGTTTCGCCGGAGCCCTGCGCTGGATGCGTACGATTTGGTCGGGCATGTCCCCCTACATACAGGCGGATTCGAGGCGAAAAATAAGAAATACCCCAAAAATGCTCTAAAATACTAAAATATAATCGAAAAATCGTCCCTAGCTTAATCCTTGGACTATTCTTGAACATTCCTCCTGTAGAGGGACATGCCCAACTGAAGTGTACAACCCCCCCTCTTCCCAACCTATGATCACGCGCTTCTTGCTCGTGTCGACTATGTATCTGACCTGCGGCCGCACGCTGGCGCCAAGGGAGGAGCACGCGCGGGCCCTGTGAGAGAGAGAACCGGGCCGACGGAGGGGAGCGTTTCTTTGCTCGGCGCTTCGACACTGGGAGGGAGGGGGGGGAGGGAGGGGGGGGGGTCTGGCTCCGGACCTCATCTCAGTGCGACTGTTTGCAGCAATGCGTCCCATGGGGGGAGACTCCACCTGCCTGAAGCAGGCGCCAAAAACAGCCAAGATCAACTCCAGGGGGTGCGAGGGACTGCGCCGATGGGCAAAACAATGAATAAAAAACGACCACCTATCATGAATACAAAACAATGAATAAAAAAACGACCACCACAATTCCACAATAAAAAACCATACATAAAAAGCAATGAATAAAAGTGCCTCGAAAATGTCTGCTACATGTTTTGAGTATGCTCGAGACATGGTTACAGCATGTTTGGGCATTGTAGGAACAGTTATTTCAAACATGTTCTAGACATCTGGAGACTGCTTGGCGAGATGCCTCCTCTCCATGGATCGCCTTCCACAGGCAGGGCGGGAGGCATCCGCTGCCAAGCGCCGCGAGGCACGGAGTCCTGCGAGCGAGCTCGGCGGGAAGAAGGCTCGCTTGGAGCGCATTGGGGGGCACCCCGGGGCCGCTTGACGATAGGCCTGTTTTCCACCACCACCACCATAAGTTGGAGGGGGAGGGGGCCCTCCTCCTCCTCCCCGTCCTCCCCCTCCTCCTCCTCCTCCTCCTCCTCCTCCTCCTCCTCCTCCTCCTCCTCCTCCTCCTCCTCTTCCTCTAACTTATAGTGGTGGTGGTGGAAAACAGGTCCATCACTTGAGCCGCCGATGGGGCCCCTCCAGGCTGTCATGGCGGTGCGTCGGAGCCCTCTCGGGCCGCCCTGGTGGCTGTCTGACAGGACCGTTTTTCACCGTTGCTGAAAGACGGCGACCGGAGACGGCAACAAAAACGGCTCTGGTGATGGGCCTGTTTTCCACAACCACCACAATAAGTTGGAGGGGGAGGGGGCCCTCCTCCTCCTCCTCCTCCCCGTCCTCCTCCTCCTCCTCCCCTCCAGCTTATGGTGGTAGCGGTGGTGGAAAACACGCCCATCATCTGGGACTGAAACCGGAACCGGAAGCAGAAGAAACGGCGACGGAACGGGCAAAAAAAAATGGCGACGGAACCAGCAAAAAAACAAGAAAACGGAACCAGTGAAGCAACGGCCCTGCCGTTTCCAGGGCCCACTAAGGGCTCACCTCACCCGGCGAAGCACAACGACGACTGAAGCCATGCTACATCGGGTTACTCTGGCAGGGTGGTATCGGAACGTCGGGAAGCGCTCCGATCACCAGAGTTCGGGGCGGACGAGAGCAAGCAGGGGCTAGCGCAGCAGAGGATCCCGTGTATTCCTGCCTCTGCCTTTACTTCATGTCATGGGATTGGGGTGAGGCCACGGAAAAAGATTTCAACCCATGCTGAACCGATGATCAGTCGTCCACGACATCGATAACATCGGGGCATGCTAACGATGCTTCTCGAAACCAGTGTGAGGGCGCACAACGCTGACGCTTTGTCCCCCATCTGTTCTGATATTCTCCACAGGTTTTGCTCTGCACATGACCGACGACGCCTTGTACACTTCCAAGCAGTACCTACAACCACGGGCCCTGCTTGCTAGCGCTGCGCTCTCAAGACAACATGGGGACTGCACATGCAGAGACCGCAACAGGGAAACGGCGACCTGCCAGAAGTGGCCAGCCAGGTCACGGTCCACAGTGAAGGACATCGATAAACATAGCCTCCCCGCCTGTCTGCCCGAATACATCGTCCGCAGAGTGCATCAGCGGGCCTCTCGTCGGAGGCCCCCGCAAGAAGCCGCGGAGCCTGCGCCGCGTCTGGCAGTGGTGCGCCCAGGTGTCACCAGGGCACGGAGGCATGAGCACTGGCCAAGCGCACAGGACGAGCCGGGCACAGACTCTGAGCGATAGCTCAACTTCGCGCCAGACCTTGCGAATGGTGGCATGGCAGCACTGCTTCCATCGTTTCGAGTGTCCGGGCGACGGCTTCTGCGGCGACCTGAGCTCTCACACGAGTAGCGAAACGGCAGACGGCAGGGCTGCTTCGTCACACTAAGCCTGTGCTTCCCGAGGGAAGAGAGGGTCACCCATGGACGGCGAGATTTGCAGATGCGGCAAAGCGAGAGTCACACCACTGTCAGCAAAGAAGCCCGAGCCAGGCGCTGATCCTCACCCTGCTCACGACTGCTGCTCACTGCGCTACGCTCGGCCCCACCCTGAGCCCTGCCCGCCTCTCTCCGAACGCGCAATCGTTGGGCTCGGCCCGGAGCTCAACCACTTCCACGAGAGCCAGGTCTGGCCCCTCCTCGGCATCGCCCTCCGCAGCCATGGCAGGGGGGCTGGCAGACAAGCGGCCCGAGCTGCGATGAGCTGGCGTGCGATACCCAAAGTGATACTCGCCCGCCGTGGGAGGGGAGGGGGGGGGAGGGGAGGGGAGAAGAGAAGGTGGGAGGGGAGGGGGGACAAGCTTAGGCGCGCTCGCACCTCCTCTGGCATCCTTACCCCTCCCACTCATCCCTTCCCATGGCGCTGATTCCTCTCCACCCGACAAAGCGTGCCATTGCGGATCATGCGTACATTTGAGGAGGGGGGAGGAGGAGGGAGGGGGAGGGGGAGGAGGAGGAGGAGGAGGAGGAGGAGGAGGAGGAGGAGGAGGAGGAGGAGGAGAAACCGAGGAGGGGAGAGGAGAGGAAGTCAGACGGGAGAGGTCAGAAGAGAGCGTTTATGCAGGGGGGCGCCGGGGGGTGCATTACGTAACGTCCCCCCCGCCGTGCGGCTCAGGCACCACAACGCCTATACGCGTCACGGCAAGGACCACAGTGCGCCGCACAGTATGCACCGCCGCAGCCACGTGCACCACATCGCCTATTCACTGCGCGGCTAATACATGCACCATCGTGCAGCACCAGTTTTTGCATCCTCCACGTTTCCTTTGAGCATTATTTTGTGCTGGTGTTTGCTGCCGCTGTGTTGCATCTACGTTGCGCAGTAAAGGATGCTACAGCACTCTGCTTCTACTACCTCCAGAACCGATGAATATCACGAAAATTGTCTCAAATCTGTACCGCATTGCCTGTTTCCGATGCGTGCTGCACTCGTGCACCACAGTGCTTGCGTGCACCACAGCGCCTGCGTACACCACAGCAGCCGCGTTCACCACAGTGCCTGCGCGGATTTCTTGGATCTGCGCTGAACCCCCATCCCTGCCGCGCGGGGCGCGCCAGGGGCGGCGCCCGAGGCGCCGCCAGGGGAACCCAGCGCCGATCCCGGAAATCCCCAAGGAGCTCCGAGAAGGGACGTGTATGCAATTTTTCTCTTCTACCCTCAGAAAATCTTCTGCCTGCCTCGAGAACTTGAGGTACAAGCGTGCAGAATGCTCCAAGAATACAGCCATCCACGATCTTCAACTACGACGACGACGACGACGACGACGACGACGACGACGACGACAGCTACTACAACGATCGTGACAACGATCGCGACGACAACGACGACCACACTCAGGAAGCCAACGCCGACCAGGACGACCATTACGACCTCGATCTCGACGACCACACGACGACGACCACGATGACGACCGCGACGACGATCACGACGACTATGACAACGATCGCAACGAGTACGAATACACCGACGACTGCGAGTGTCAGGACGACGCTCACAACGACGACCACACGCCGACTACGACTATCGCTACGACCAAAATTAACACGACGACCACGGCGAGTTCGACAACGACGACAACAAATACGACAAACACAACAACGATCACCATGACCACAAAACAACCACGACGACGATTACAAGGACACCCCGTTCCCCCCTCCAACTGCTCCTCCTTCTCCTCCTCCTCCTCCGCCTCCTCCTTTTGATATCACTTTTATTGCTACAACTGTTGCCACTACTTCTGCTACCAATGCCACTATGACAACTCTCGCGGCACTGCCAACACCAGAATACTGAGTGGACCCCGCGCGCGTGCGCACAAACTTCCGAACCCTGCACGTGCGACAGCAGCCGGCGAATGCAGCACCATGTCTGCGAGCACAGGCAACGAGCCGGTCAGCGCCACGCTGGGTCGTGAACGTCAAAGCAGCCTGCATGCACCACAGCAGCATGCGAGCATCAGAACGGCAGTGTCGGCAGCGCACTACGGGGGGGGGAGCGTTACGTCATGGGGGGAGGGGGGGAAGGGGGAATCACGCGCGTGATGGCCCAAAGGACTCAAAAACACGCTCGAAGGGACAGGAGGTGAAATGTCAGAGGGGACAGGAAGTGAGGGATGGTGACAGTGGGCGTGGACGCGGCACCTGGGGAGGGGCGCACAGATATCTTGAACACGTCGAAAACGTGGCGGTTACTTGCCCGAAGCGTGCCGTCCCCGGGCCACTGACGAACAGTCCTCTGAAATGAACTTCTGCGTCAGTCAGCTGGGCCCCCGCCGAGTGCATTTCACTGTATTACAGCACCTGTTGCTTAGAGATGCGCATGTCACAAGTCAAGTTCGAATATTTCTGGTTGCACACAACAGTCAGCAGTCGAATGCACTAAGTGAAAATTACGCTGTAGCGTCAGTGAGAGAAACAGTCCCGCGCTTTCAGCGGCTCTGTCAAGTAGCGTGCGACACGCACTGATGCACGACAAGTGGAAGGACCGCTCAAAACCCTCATTGAGAGTTGGAAAAAGCGTGTTGTGAGCACAATTCAATTAGCCCACAATCGCCTCAGCCATCACCTCGCCTTGTCCCCGCCAACATTTCGATCATCCTTAAAGTCGACCCAGGAGGAACCAGAAGTCAGCATGCTTTCGACTTCTTCCATGACTTCCTCCACCTTGTAGCCACTGGAAAGCGATTATGTTTACATAAGGGAGAGGTCACCAACTACGAGTGAGCATCGCAACCAATGATCAACAAAGAAGAAATACTGTGAGAGACTTGAATTGAAGCAGTGGAGTTTGTATTCCCACACCATTCGAAGAGAGCAATTGTAGATCTCGATCGCTCACATACATACACATATACCTTCATTACAGACATACATATACTGCATACATGCATGCATACAAGCATAGACACATACATACATACGTGCATGCATACATGCGTGTATAGTTATACGCGCATACACACATACATACATACACATATTTACTTGCATACCTACATACATACATACATACATGCATACATACATACATACCTACCTACCTACCTACCTACATACATACATACATACATACATACACACCTACATAAATGTATACGTACGTACATACCTATATACATGCATACTTGCATGCATACGTACACACACATGCATACATACATACGTACATGGCACATGATACATGTATACAATCATGACATACCTATCATGCATACCAAACTATATCATAACATCACACACCATACCATACCATGCCATGCCATACCATACCATACACACACCGATACATATATATAAATACATATATACCTATACATATACATATACATATACATACATGCGTAGATACATACACCTGCATGCATACAGTACGCTACTCTACACATACATCGATGTGTATATATATATATATATGTGTATACATGTACCCCTCACCGTGCTGCGAAGCACTGCGTGGAGCGCCCGCGGGTCCCTTTGGAACCCCTTCCATGACATACAGAATACACTGTCAGGGACCCGCAGCCCTGAATCCTGGGCGCTCTCGGGCTCTTCTGGGGCTTCCCGCGTGCTGGCGCGTGTCCCTGCGTGACTTTTCCGGAGGCAGGGGGCTCCCCAAGACGGCCCATGAGGGCCCAGAACCCCCCAGACGTCGCCCCAAAACGCCCAAGATGGCCCCTGTACAGCCCAAGAGGCCCACAAGAAGCCCCAAGACGGCCCCAACAGCCCCCCCCCCCAAAAGAGCCCCGAGAAGCCGAAGCCTCTGAAAAGACTGTGGACTGGAAGGACTTAAGCATGTTCGACTGGTCGGGCTCCCAACGCTCCAAGACGGGCCAGCCTTGCGGATGCCATGACAAGGGACACCCTAGCAATGCTATCATTGAATTAAAAATGTGTTCAAAATGTTTGAAAAGTGTTCTAAACATGTTTAACTATATATATATATATATACATATAGCATGCTTAAAACAGGTGTTACACATGTTTTAGGCATCTGGAAATTATCTGGTAACATGCGCCCACTCCATGGATCGTCGTCCACAGGGCCAGCCCCAGGACGGCAGCCCCGAGGCGGCCCCGCAGAGGGCCCCGAGGGACGGCCCACGAGGCCCCCAAGACGGCCCCAGGAGGGCCCCAAAGAGGTGCCCCCGAGACTGCCCCACGGGGGCGTGGCTGCCCAAGAGGGCCCCAGGGGACCCCCACGACTGCCCCACGGGAGCGTGGCCGCCCAAGGCGGCCCCCAAAGGACTCCCGGGGACGGCCCCAAGACTTAAGAGGGGCGGCTCGAACCGACATGTCGCGCCCTCCGCCCCGCGGGGCGACCACCAGGACCGCCAGCAGGCCACCGCGAGGCCGCCCAGAAACCCCAGGGAAGCCCCCACGAGGCCCAGATCAAGGTCCAAGGAGGCCCCCGAGAGGGCCCAAGACACCCGAGGAGGAGGAGGAGGAGGAGGAGGAGGAGGAGTGCCTTCACGAGGCTCCCAAGAGGCCTCCCCAGAGATCCCCACGGGCATCCAAGAGGCCTCTGACGTACAACACGGGGCAGGGTGGCGCGATGGGCCGAAGGCTAACACATCATGGAATAATGGTGTGTGCTTGCATGTTTTCGGCCC